ATATATTATAGTGCTTTATATATACAAAATTACATTAATGGAGTTATTAGCTATGTGACAATACATATATCAAAAGTGATTCAGAAGCTAGCCCCAGTTTGAGCTTGAGGAATCGGAAGAAACCAGTTTTCAGCCTACTACACAGATATCCCTATAAATAACATGATCAGCCGAATGGGACGAAGCAAATCTAAAAATATCTCATTTTAAATAAATTTAGCTTCGTATTACTACAGTAACGCGTATCACGCAGTCAGTTACGCCCGCATGTAATATTCTCACTCGAATGTGGGTCAGATTGGAAAACAAGTTGAGACGCCTATAAATTATCAATTTCTTCAACCCATATCCTTGGTGGTTGCACAAGTTGGCTTCGTCGCTTCTCCGAGCAGTGGCCTAATAATCGGTTCAAGAATTCCGCTTGGGCTAATTGTCGCAGCTGCCGATTTCTCACACTTTCACCCAAAATGTTTTGGCGAACTTTAAATTGTTTTTCTTTTTCGCATAAATTAGATGGATTGTGGAGATTATCGCACATAGCCTTAATTGGCTGTCAAGGCAGAAGACATTGAGGTAGACGGAGGGACAGGGGCCGCCTAGCTGAACTTACGGCGCATAGAGACGGTGCTGTATATAGGGACTGGGGCAAAAGTTTTTGTCGCGCAGAAAACAGCGCAACACGTTCACATCCAGCGCTCCACTGTTTAGCAGATTTTTCCAATCCATTTGGTTCAGCAGCAGCGTTTGAGCATCTGCAAAAGTTGTTAGATCGTGAGCGAAACTGTTTTAGTCAACGTTTTTCATCTACATAATTGTTGTTGTTGTTGTTGATTTTCGGTTTGTTTTATTTATTATTATTATTATTATTATTATTATTGTTGTTGCTGTTGTTGTTGGTTTTGTACCTTTGGATATCAGCGTTAAGAGGCAGATCGCAATTAAACATTTCATTGCTCTTGCACTTTTAATTGCCAGCTAAATATAGATGTGTGTGTGGGTGTTTGCTGTCTCCTCTCCCTTTGTTGTTTTTGTACTTTTTAGCAAAATTATTATTCGCGGTAAACTTGCTCACATTAATTATTGTTTTACATGCAATTGCAATTTTGTTTTGATTAATTGTTGAATTAAATCGTTTTATAAAAAACTCATGTTTTTGATTATTTATATCTTATAATTTTCTAATAATAATTTAAATATCAAAAAT